CATGCGTCGCCGCCTCCACTCCCACGCACCTCCTCCTCCTCCTGCGCGCNCGCGGCGCCTTTGCACTGCGTCGCCGCCTCCACTCCCACGCCACGCACACTCCTTCTCCTCCTCTGCGCGCGTCGCGGAGCCGTTGCACGCGTCGCCGCCTCCACTCCCAGCACCTCTTCCTCCTCTGCGCGCTGCGGCGCCGTTGCATGCGTCGCCGCCTCCACTCCCAGCATCTCCTCCTCCTCTGCGCGCTGCGGCGCCGTTGCATGCGTCGCCGCCTCCACTCCCAGCATCTCCTCCTCCTCTGCGCGCTGCGGCGCCTTTGCATGCGTCGCCGCCTCCACTCCCAGCACCTCCTCCTCCTCTGGTGCAGCAGCAGCAGGTGCAGCAGCGTTGGTCACCGTCGCCGACGCCCCGCCCCTGCTGCCTCGCCACGGCCTCTTGGCGCTTGGCCCACCGTCCATCCCTTCCGCCGCGTCGTGCTTGTCGTCACTCGCGTGCGCCTCCCTGCCAGCGCGTTTCCTGCCGCCGTTGCGTTTGTTGTGGCCGCCGGGGGCGATGACGTCGACGGCCTTCGCGAATCGCCGCGTGAGCAGCCCGGGGTCGTGCTCCACCGCGACCTCGTCCTGGTCCACCTCGTAGTGCGCGGGGAGGGGGGCGGGGCCGACGAAGCAGAGCGGGTGCTGCGCGAAGCAGAGGCGGCGGCGGCCGTCCACGCAGGCCACGCGCCCGTCCGCGCTGCGCTCCGCCGCAAGACGGCAGATGTTGCACACGTCGACGCCGCCGCTGTAGTCGCTGTGGAAGACGGCGAATGTAATGACGCGGTCGCAGCCGTCGCACTGCACGCACTTCACCTGCGGCCCCAGCCGCGGCCGCGTGCCCGGATACCGCTGGTTGAGCGAGGCATACTTTTCAAAGAGTGCGTGAGCTGCCATTGCCGTACCGGCATAGCGGGGAGTCCCCCCCTCCCCCTGTTTGTTTGTTTGTTTGTTTGTGTTTGCTTGTGTTTGTTTTTCACCCCGCTGCCGCCGCCGCCGCCGCAGTCGTCGTCGTCCTCGTCACTGCTGCTGCCGCAGTGGCGAGAGAGTGCGGGAGGCGTGCGTGTCGGGGGGAGTGCGGGGGGGCAAAGCGGCATGGAGGAGGAGGAGGAGGAGAGGCAAGCGAGAAAAAGACAGCTGCAAGCAAAGGCGCACGCGGGGGTTGGGAGAGAACAACAACGACAAGAGAAAGAAGGAAGAAAGGAAAAGGAAAAAAAGAAAAAAGTGGGAGGCGGCGGCGCCCCGCAGCTCTAACACGCAGGACGCGCCAAAAAAAAAAAAAAGCACGCGCAGCGCGTGACACACTGGGAGAAAAAAAAAGAAAAACAGAGGGGAGGGGGGGCACTTGGGGTGTGTGTGTGTGTACGTGCGTCGCTGTGAGAAGGACCCTTCCCACACGCACACGCACACACACACACACCTTCTCTCTCTAGCTACCTCTCTTATTTTCTCGCACTCGCGCCGGGCGACAGGGCAAGGCAGGCATCTCACGTGCGTCGCTCCAGCAGCCGCATCACCTCCACCAGCGTCGCCGCATCGCTGCTGTTGAGTTGCTGCTGCTCCTCCGACTGCCGCAGCCGCTGCCGCTCGCGCTGCCCCTCTAGCCGCGCATACGCCTGCATCTCCAGCTGCAGCCTGCGGACGCCCTCGCGGCGGAACTGCAGCTTTGCCTGCTCCTCCTCCAGCTCCTCCTGCGACCGCGCGTGCCCGGCCACCCGCAGGGCGTGCTCCGCCGTGGCTGCCGCCCTGCGCTGCTGCAGCGCGGCGAGCTCGTCCCGCAGCTGCTCCCGCCGCAGGACCGCGTCCTGCAGTTCCTGCTCAATGCGAGCCCGGATCCCGGTGTCCCGCGGGTCCGCCGCCGCCGGCTGCTGCCGCAGCGACTCCAGCCGCCGCCGGATGGTCGCCTTGTAGTTCCGCACCCAGTCCAGCTGCCCCCGCACCGTCCCGAGCATCCGCTGCTGCTGCTCCAACACCTCCGCCAGCACCCGCAGGTCCTCCGCGGGGCGGTCCTCGGCGCTGGCGGAGGACGTCGAGGCGGAGGAGTGCGCCGCCGCCGGTGGGGCCGCCCCCAGCGAGAGAGTCACACCGCCAGTGCAGCGCAGCGGCGCGCCCTCCCGCGTCGTCTCCACAGGGACGTCAAAGTCGAAGCGGAACGTCCGTGTGGCGGCGGCGGCGGCGGCGGCAGCAGCGGCGACTGGCGGCTCCGCTGCGGCGGCCGCCGCCGTGATGGCCTGCACGACGGGGGCGGGGACAGGGACGCGGAAGCGGCCGAGCGGCTCGTCGGCGTCGCCGCAGAGGGTGCCGGCGAGGGTCTGCCGCGCCAGTGCGCCGAGGGTGCGGCGGCACGGCGGCAGCGGCGGCAGCGACGCCCACGCCGCGACTTCCGTCGCCACACGCGCCGACGTCACGGAGGCCGCTGCGTCGCCGCCCTCCCCCTCCTCCTCCTCCCCCCCCACGCACGAGAGCTCCACGTAGACGGTGGCTCCCGGCAGGGGCGGCGGCAGCACCGCCAGGCGCGCGACGTCGACGGTGAGCAGGTGCAGCGCCTCCACCACCGCGGGAAACGCGATCTCCCCCGTGACGAAGTGGCCGTCGCGCAGCTGCAGCGTGACGACGGCGTCAAAGGCGGCGGCCGCTTCCAGCAGCTGCGGCGTCTGCACGGCGCACATCCCCACGAACGACTCCCCGTTGCTGCCGTAGCACTCCAGCACGAGCTGCGGCTCCCGCGCGGCGCAGGCGAAGGTGTGGCGGCACGCCCACGACGGGGCGCCGGGCACGGGGCTCGCGTCGCAGACGAAGTTGGAGTCGGGGAGGCGGCCGCGCAGGACGTACGGCGGCGGATGCCGCGCGGCGTCGATGCTGCGCGCGTCGAACTGTGAGAGCCGCACCAGAAAACCCTCCGTGGCCGGCGTCGGCATTGCTGTCGCACTCTAAACACGCCCGCGCTTCCCTTTTTCTTCGGCCCCCGCAGAGCGCGGGCGAGAGGGAGGGATGAATGGCACGCCAAGCCCCATGCCAGCGAGTCCTACGCACACACACACACACACACCACACGTTCCGCACACTTTCGCGGCAGCTGCCTCGCTCACGGAGAAGGAGAGAGAGGGAGATGGGGCGCATGCCTCTGTTCCGCCTTCTGTTTTGTTTTTGTTTTTGTTTTCTCTTCTTTTCGCCCTCTCCTTTTTTTACCCCGTTTTTTTTCTTTACGCCCCGCTCCCGCACCGCACACAAACAGGCATACTCACTGCATCCATGCACGCACGCGGGCCACAAGGCCAGGCGCACGGACAAGCGTAGACGGGAGTAATGAGGCACCCGCCCGCCACGCAGTGCAGAGCCCGGCGTGCCGCAACGGGATCCTCGCCGGCGGGCTGGCAGGGCACCCCGGCGCCGGCGCCGATTTACATGGGGAGGGAGGCGCACCCCGCCCTGACGCCCACCGCCTCCTTCTGCAGCGCCGCAAGGATGTGGCGCAGCTCCTCCGCGCGCCGCCGTGCCGCGTGCACCTTCGCCCGCATGCCCTCCTCCGCCGTGCGGCACGCCCGCGCGTCCCCGCGCCGCCGCCCCTCGAGGTAGTCGCGCAGCAGCCCAATGTCCGTCTCCGCCGCGGTCTGGCGGGCGGTGGTGGCGCGGGCGGTGAGGCACGCCGTGGCCGCCGTCTCGCGCAGCAGGAACTCCCGCTCGCACAGCAGCCGCTCGTACTCCAGCCGCGCCTCCAGCGCCGCCGCCTCCATCGTCGCCCTCCGCACACACGCGGAGAGAGGCAGAGCGGGAGAAGGGGAGAGAGAGAAAGTGTGTGTGCGTGTGTGTGGGGGGGGAGGGAGGAAAAATTGACTTCTCCACCGCGGTGGCGCACGTTGAGAGAAGAGGGGCGAAGAAGTGAGGAGAGAAATCGCGGGGCCGCCGCAGCCGCGACGCGGGGCGTGCTAGTCAAAGAGACACACACACAAACTGATAACAAATAAGAAAAACAACCAGAAAAAAACAAACAAACAAACAAACAAACAAAGAAGGTCGCAGCGACGGAGCGAGAGAGGAAGAGAGGGAGAAGGAGAGGAGGGGGAGTGCAGTGGCAAAAATAAAAACAAAAGCACACACACACACACACTAGTTGAAGATCAAACGCGAGGAGAAACACAACGGCGTGGGGGGGGAAGGAACGGAGCGACAACATGCACGTAGGTAGTACATATGTGTATATATACAAAAAAACAGGTGCACGCACGCACGCAGGCCTGTACGGCAGAAAAAAAAAAAAGTGGGGTGGTTGTGGGAAGGCCGCCACGAACGAAGAAAAACAACACACACACATATATATATATATATATATGTACACACACACACAGGGAGAGAGATCGACGGCGGAGGAAAAAAGAACGAAGTGCGCATCCCACGCCAGTTGGGGGGGGGGGACTACAACTCTTTATTGCCCCGTTCTCGCAGTCTATATTTGCGTGTGCTTAACTACACGCAAGGGGGCCTTCGCACGTCGGCCGCGGAGGTTTCCTCCGCGGCGGAAAACGGCGGCGGGGCCACCCAACCGCCACCAGGCGACCCGCAAAAAAAAACACGCACGCACATTCTCTCGCTCTCATCATTCCTTGCGTGTTGAGTCTCCGTTTGCCGGCCCTGGGTTTAGTAGTGTATAGATATAACATATAATGACAATAATAACAGCAATAATATATATATATGTTATAATGTTATGAGGTTGTATGTATGGAAATGCGTGTATGTATGGAAGTGTGAGTCACCGTTCCCCCCTCCCCCCCCCACCTCCCACACACACACACACACCGTGTGTGTTCCTTTGCTTCTTCGCGTGCATTTCCTCCTCGCTTTTTTTTCTTCCTCTCTCTCTCTCTTTCAACTCTTCCTTTTTCCTTTGCTTCCCCCCTTTGTATTCGTTGGCTTTGCCCTTCTTCTTCTTCCTCCTTTTTCACTCTTCATGTGGCCTGAGCCCAGAGGACCCAAAGGCGCAGTCGCGGCACACGGCGGCTCAGCCCTTGTAGTACCGCAGCGGGACGAAACGCGGCAGGGTGACCTCCCCCGGCACCCGCCGCCCCCGCACGTCCAGCTCCACGTGCTGCCCCACGCGGGCCTGGGCGCGGTCGATGTACCCCATCGCGATGTTGCGCGTGAGCGTCGGCGACGGCACACCGCTCGTCACCTCCCCGACCACCGCCCCGTCGACGAGGATCGGCGCCCCGGCGCGGGCGACCGGGCCCTTCTCGAGGGAGACGATGCCCATGCGCAAGCGCGGCACGAGCTCCTTCGCGCGCCGCAGCAGCGTCTTGAGGCGGGCGTGGCCGATGAAGCCGCCCTCCGCCAGGCGACTCTTGGGGATGCTCCACATGAGGCGCGCCGCCACCGGGCTGATCTCCTCCGCGAGCTCGTGCGAGTAGAGGCAGAGGCCGGCCTCGACGCGCAGGCTGTCGCGCGCCCCGAGCCCCGCGAGCTCCGTGGCGGAGTTCTGCAGCAGCAGCTCCGCGAACCGCACGGCGTGCTCGTGGGGGACGCTGATGTCGAAGCCGTCCTCGCCGGAGTAGCTGCAGCGCGTCAGGGTGAGGTCGATGCCCTGCACGTCGACGCCGCGGCGCCCGTGCATGAAGTGCAGCTTCTCCAGGTCCTCCAAGTGGGGGCCCAGCACGGCCGCCGCCGCGGGCCCCTGCAGCGACACCATCGCACGGTCCAACTCCACGACGGCGGCGTCGCCCTTGAACTCCGCCAGCCGCTCCCGCACGTGTGACATGATCTTCGCCTTGCACCCCGCGTTGACCACGACAAGGAGGCGGTCGGCGTACCTGGAGACGATGCAGTCGTCCTTCACCCCGGCGGCCTCGTTGAGGAAGAGCGTCAGGACGGACTGCCCGTCCGACAGCTCCGCCACCGCGCTGGGCGTCAGCCACTGAAAAAACTTGTAGCGGTCCGCCCCCCACACCTCAAAGGACCCCATGTGCGAGACGTCAAAGAGGCCGGCAGCGCGGCGGGTGTGCAGGTGCTCGTGCAGGAGCCCGCGCGAGTAGTGAATGGGCATGTGGTAGCCGGCAAAGGGAACCATGCGGGCCTTGTGGCTCACGTGGAAGCCGTGCAGCGCGGTGTGACGCAGCGGCGCCGACATTCTCTAATCGTCTTCGTCGTCCTCGTCGTCGGAGAAAGGGGCTACAGGGCAGAGGCACAGGGCACAGCTGCATGCGAGAGGAGGAGGAGGAGGAGGGCGAAGATAAGCAGGCGGAACGGAGGTGGGGACACACACACAAAGGCGCCGCGGTGTGGCGGCAGTGGCGAGGGAAATCACTGCCGCCAGCACGTGCTACGCGGCCAGTCACGCACGTAGAGGGCGAGAATGAGAGGAAGAGGGAGAGGCATGGATGGAGAGGGATACTGTGCGTGTGTGTATGGGGGTGGAAAGACGGGCGAGCGACAGGAGGCGGAAGAGGAAAAAGAAAGAATAAGAAAAGAAAAAAAAAAAGGAAGGTGTGAGGATGGGGGTCGGGCCGCTAACCGCACATGAAGGAGCGAAGCTGGAGGTGCCCAGCCTTCCCCCCCCCCCCACCATGTTTTCTTGTACGACTTGCATGTCAGTTTCCCCTTCCTCCTCCCGCTTCCTCTCGCTTGCAGCTTGACGACGATGCACGCAAGCCACCCCGCCGTGGCGCGGTGCTACACTCTATTCGCAAAGCCGTACTTTGCTGAGGATGGCCCGCTTGCGCCGCTCCAGCTCCTCCGCGGAGAGCAGCGACGGGGTCGCCGCCGCCGCCGCCGTGTCGCGTGTCTGCCGCGTCGCCTGCGGCGGCGGCGTTGTTGTTGTGGCGGCCGGGCCCGTGAGGCTCGGCGGTGGCGCGGGCGGCGAAACCTTCGCCATCGGCGTCGTCAGCAGCAGCTCCCGGACCCGGCCGATGTACCGGCGACAGGCGTCCACCTCCACCGCCGCCGCCTCCCCCGCCGCGTTCGCCGCCGCGCGCGCCTCCCGCACAGCAGCCTCCGCCGCCGCGAGGGAGGTCTGCAGGGATCCCACCGTCTGCTCCTGCTGCGCGCGGTCGTGGCGCAGCGCCGCCACCTCGCCGCTCAGCTCGCTGAGGGCGGCCTCCATCGCGTCGCGGGTGCGCTGCGCGTCAGTGGCGTCCGCCAAAACCCGCCGCAGCGCCTCCGCCGCCGCACCGCCGCCGCTGAGGCCGGGCAGCTGCTGCTGCAGCGAGGCGCAGGCGGAGAACATCTCGCGGGCCCGCTCGTGCAGCGCCGCCGCGGCGGACTCCCGCCGCTGGGCGCGCTCCTCCACGAGACGCAGCTGCGTGGTGAGGGCGGCCTCCCTCGCCCCATGCAGCTGTCGCTGCTCCTCCAGCCGCACTTCCGCGGCGCGGGCCTGCGCGTGCGCCTCCGACCCGCACTGCTCCTGCAGGCACAGCAGCTGCTCGTGTAGGCCCTGCTGCTTGTCCCTGTACACCAGAAGAGCGTCCGCCGCGGTCTGCACGCGGGCCTGCAGAATCTGCACCGCAAGCACGAGACGCCGCATCTCCTGCCGCACAAGGGAGTCGACGGGTGTGTGGGCCTCCACCACCGCGCTGGCGCGAACGCAGATGGCGTCGCACGTCTCGGCGTCAATCGTGCACGACGGCGCCTCCAAGCCGTCGGCCAAAGGCACCGCGTTCAAGTCCGGGCGTGGCGGCGGCAAATGCTGCTGCCGCAGGAACTGGTTTGCCTGTCGGAGTCGCTCTACCTGCGTGCGAAGCTGCCGCACCTTGGCGTCCGCCAGGGGCGCCCCGTCACCGCCTGCGCCGCAACACGCCGCCGCTCCCTCCTCGGCGTGCGTCTCGCTTTGCGACTGGGCGGCGTCGCCCGCCTGCGCCTGCGCGAGCAGCGTCCTCAGCCGCAGCGCCACCGCCGCCCGCACCGGCTGCGGCTGCGCCTCTAGCATGCCATCGATCATCTGCACCAGCCCGTCCTCGTCCGAGGCCGCGCCGTCGGCGGGGCCCGTGGCGCAGATGTGGCAGACGCGCTCCGCAAACGCCTCGTGGCGGTCGCGCTGCAGCTGCAGGGCGCCGCGGAGCTGCTGCACGGTGTCGCGCGCCTCCGCCAGCTCCTGGGCGTAGGCGCGCGCCTTGCCCTCCAGCGCCCTGTGGGCGGCCAATGACACGCCTGGCGGGACGTCTGCGTCTGCGGCAGTGGACGTGCCGGGCAGCGGCGGCGCCTTCTCCAGCGCGTCGCGAAGAAAGCCGTCGTAGGCCTCCCGCACATCGAGCAGGCACTGCCGCACCTCGTGGTCCCGCTCCAGGCGCAGCAGGGCGAGGCGCACCTCGAACTGCTCCGCCGTCCGCGCCACCTCCCCCGCCAGGAGCGCCCGCTGCTGCGCCAGCATCAACCGCGAGGTGGCCCGCACGTGCTCCAGCTCCTCCTGCAGCCGCGCGTTGGCAAGCCGCAGGCTCTGCAGGTCCGCCACGCCGCCGCCGTCGTCGCCGCAGCAGCGACCTACCTGCGCCTCCGCGTCGCTGCAGTTATTGGCGGCGGTCCCCGGCGACGCTGCGGGCGGCAAGCACGTCGCGGCACCAACTTCCTCCCCCTCCTTCTCCTCCGCCGCAGCGGTGGCAGGCAACGAGGGAGAAGGCGGAGGAGGAGGTGAGGCGGACGACGCTGGCGGTGGTGGTGGCTCGTCGCACGCCGCGGGGAGCTTCCCGACGCAGCGCAGACTCCGCGGCGACTGCAGGAACGCCGCCACGCCGGCGTCGACGGGGTTGGCGAAGTCGACGGAGAACTCCGAGTCCTGGGCGAGGCGGGCGAGGAAGTAGAAGAGCACAAGCAGGTTGAAGCAGTGCCGGGCGTGGCCGGCCGCCACCGCCCGGCGGTCGCAGAGGTGCAGCGGCAGCCCATGCCGCCCCATCACGCGCCGCAGTGCCTCCCAGTTCCGTGCGGCGTCGACCGGGCCGCGCCGCGCCGGGCGCGGGTCGACGCTGGCGGGAAACAGGCGGGCCGCGAGCGCCAGCAGCACCACCCCGTCGCGCAGGTCGGCGTACTTGTCGCAGGGGCGCACCCCGCTCGCCTCCGCCGCCCAGCGGAGGAGCTCCTTCTTCCCCAGCGGCGCCATCGCAACCCTCCGCACGTTGTGTGTGTGTGTGTGTGTGTGTGTGTGTGTGAGGGGAGAGAGAGAGAGAGAGAGAGAGAGAGAGA